ACGCAGATCCGATGTCTTTCATCACAAGTCGTGGAAGTAGAAAAATCGGGAGGGATGTATACGTTACACCAAGACCGACCATTCAAACCCATGCTTGAGGCTACCACTCAGCAAAGACGTCAGCAAAACCCAACCGACACCCGTAGAAACAAATCGATGACGTGCGCAAAACCAGTTAAACTACGTGAACGAAGGTTGCATCAGAATCAAACCACCCGGAGGATTGGCGAATCTGCAGATTTAGTTTTAGCTGCATGGCAGTATTCGGACTACCAACGGTGTCAGTCAGGCCTTGCGTACCCACCTCGATAACAGGTATTTCCATTTGGGCTGCTTTAGTAACAGGCTGAAGTAGGTAGTTACCATTCAGATAAGGGGCAGTATCCTTCCCGGCTTCGGCGAGACATATTATATAATACCACTGTTAAACTTACCTGACAAAGCAGGAAGTAGAATAGCCCGACTGTGGCAGAGAGATTAGGGGCTTCCATGGTGCCAACATCATTGTGTTCCAGTGTCAAGCTGACAGAATATAGTTGATCAATCGGCGTAGCGCTGGAACTGGAGAACGAATTAAGTGTTGATCTCGTCAGAAAATATTTGTACTCACCTGCAGTTTCAGGTTGGAAGACCACTTATCCAATCCCACACACAGGGTCGGGAAGATTGTTGAACGACGGCTACAGTGGCAGGACTGTGGTGGGAGGATCGGTGGCTTTCATAGTACCAACATCGTTGCGTGCCAGAGTCGATGTAGTTCGATCCAGGAATATATCAGTTGCAAGGTTACGCAGTTTGTTCACCAGTTCACAGTTAACACACTTTATGAAAGTAGATTCACATTCTTTTGCTTCATGATCACCAGCACATATGAGGCAGCAAGTAGAGTTGTTTCAGGAACATGCTGTATGGCCAGACATGGAACATTTGAAGTAGCGGTAGACATTGATTTCTTAGGCCACTCTACAGGTAGACGCGTTGCAGCTTGATCAAAGGATCAAAGTTTCAAATGTCCGAGGAGAGCGGAAGATTGTTTTGCTTTTTCAATTTGAGGTCAATTTCACCAGCACTTAAATCTTCGGACAGACCAATGATTTTTATCCATGATCACTTGTTTCCGTACGGAAACGTTACCGTTCTCCATGCATCGAACATTTTTGACCGAAAAAGCAGCAGAATATATCTTCGAGAGAATATTCTTGATTTGTCACATCAGCACGTTGATTTCCCTTAGGCTTGATAATTACAGTTTGTTCTCTCTTGTTGGATCTCGCTGCGGCTCTTCTGCTTCCGTCCCAAGTGTCGAACCACAAAAGAGACTGGCCTGTCGGACTCTTTCCTCTTCAATAATTTCAGGGTCCAAGCTTGGGTCTGATGATTGATCCGTTCCCTATAAATAAAACAAAAATGGTTAGCAATCAGCTTAAGCAATAGCAATAACATCAATAACAAGGAAATAAAATAAGTCGACAGGAATCTGACCTAGGACCGTCGTGAAAAAAAATGACACTTCAATGAAGAAGAAAACATGCACGCCTACGTTGATCAAAAAGTTTGATTTTCATGATTTTCACCCACTTGCGCATCATCTTCCAGACGCTACCATAGCAACACCATCGTAACCAAATTTTCACATGCCGAGAGCCTATATAAGGAAGGCTGCTGCTAACAATCGACAAGAGGCTTCTGAAGTGGTTTCCAAGCGGACGTCTTTTTGATCGCTCTTCCCATTTTTTCAAGGTAGGATTGATTTTCAACATGTTTGCTAGCAAGGCGAAAAACGGTCGCGATGCTCGGAAGACCCGGTCCAGTCGGATTGTTAGACCGGTGTCTTTGCCCAACTTTATGAGAACCGACCCTGATGGCACACTTACGGCCATTTACCAGCGCATAAAGGCGGCTTCTTCAAAGCCGAAGCTGCCAAAAGCGCAGGATCGTTGGGAGGTTCTCAAAAGATTGCCGGTGACCGATGAATACGATAATGTACGGTCGCTGGTCGGTGAGTACATCCGACGGCCTTTTAAAGCGTCTACTAGCAAACAGTTGATTGGTGAGGGAATTGGGAGCGAAGTTCAAGAATACCGTTACGAAACTACTCCGGATGCCTCAAAGGCGGGTTTTGGTAAGGGGAATTTTGATAATAATTATGAAGGTGTAGAGTTAGATAAAAATATGAATTTAGGAGATAGGGTGGCTTTTGAAGGTCAGTCCCAAATTTTATGTGAGGCATTTAGATATAACAGAGCCGATGTAGATTCGGTTCTGGTAGCAGGTATTGCCAAGGTACAGGAATGCGAGACGACATTAGCAGTATTTGAAACATACGCCAAGATACAACATGATATTTTGGAACGTGTGACGTATGTTCCGACCACTGCTGATGTTTCTACGCAAACTACTATCCCAAAATTACAGCGAACACAGCTGAACTTTATGTATGCTGGGTTTTGGGAGAGGTGTACCTTGAGAGAAAATCAAGGTATGCAAACCGAAGATCAAAATTTGACAGTTCCGAAGCAGCCTACTATGATGCTTCAGAAAAATGCTAGTGGCCCAAATTCAAATTTGATAAAAAATCTTTTTGGTTGGAAATCTTTAGGATTGACATTTTTTGTTTCGGCCCTGGTCCTCGGTTTGCTGGAAATTCCAAATTACATCTAGCAGATTGGTATTGATTTTTGTTATTTGGATCGAGCTCGCTGGTGGTACAACGAATTTCATCAAAATTAATTAGCTTCTCCGAGGTCTTCTGACGAGTAAAGATGTTGTAGCCGGGTACAAACGAATACTTCGAGCTACCATCTTTTCTACGAGAATTCCTCGGAACCCATTAACACCGGATAGGGACCTTTTGGTGAAAAAAATTCGTTTAGGGACCGTGCCTGGATGGCTAAACCTATTGGGAATGGCTTCCAAGCAAACCAATCGATGTAGCAGAATGCTTTCATCGAAGATCGTTTTGTTTATGAAGTTCGAAAGACCACTATCGTGAGCTCGATCGTCGCATTTCGGAGTATTTAGCAGTGTTAGGGTTTTTGATGTAGTATAGGTATATATAGAAAAAGAATCAGGTAGATTGATAGGAGCTAGGACAGGAGCACATATGTGATTGGCAGGGAATGTGGTGGGAGTTTAAAGGTAATGAAAAGTCATCCCTTTTGATAATTTCGATCGAAACTGGTTGATCATAAATTGATTTGATTGAAAATCGGTTTGGACCGAAATTAGAAATAGAGAGGTGACTTTTCAATACATTTAACGGGGCCTATCACATATGTGCTCCTTTTTAACTTGTTAGTCAGGTACTTCCAAATTTACCGTTCATGTATAGTAGCTAGTTAAAAGGGTGGTATAAAATTTCTCGGATTTTAATTTCAGAATGGCCTATTTATTAGCATACTAATATTTTAGTTTTCGAAAACGTAACAAAGCTATTAAAAATTTGATTAAAATGGGAATATTTCCTTCTTTGAGTGTTCATTACGTTGTTTGATTATTTTTGTTTTTCTTTTTCTTTCCGTTGTTATTGTTATTTTTGTTATTCTTTAGTTTGATATTTGAATAAAGAAGGCAATATTCCCATTAGCAAAATTTTGAATAAAAAATAAAATTTTCCATTTTGAATGCACATGATTTCCTACTTTCATGTAAATGGTCCATTTTAGGAAATGAAACTCCGGGAAATGTGATACCACCCTTAGAAGCGTTTTCAATCAGTTAGGAGCTAGGGCAGGAGCACATATGTGATTGGCAGGGAATGTGGTGGGAGTTTAAGGGTACTGAATTCTTTGTTCAGTACTTTTAACGGGGCTTCTCACATATGTGCTCCAGGATAGAGTCGACTTCAGGTCAGAGAAAATTGGTAGTTGGTAGATTGAAAGTGTATTATGTAGAATAGCTAGGGCCGAAACGAGAATTTAATGAGTCCCACATTTGAAATGATCTGCAATTTTTTCTCGTTGTCAATTAAAATTGTAATTTTAGGTTAATATTTTCAAGTTAAAAAAATCCATACCATCTTTTGTATGAATGAAAGTGCTCACTGTAGTGTATCAACTAAGTGGTGTTGCTCAATTTTGTTGAATTAAGTGTTTAAGGCTTCAAAAGATCCTGTTGACCAATGAATTCTTCAAATAGTATTGCCTAACTAAAGCTAACCAAGACACCATTATGGAATGCTCTTCGGCAGGGGAACTATGCCATTAGCGCGAAGCATTTTTAAACCACTGATGCTGGCGCCAACTAGTATTGTGTTTACTATTTGGTCATCACTTGATTCAATAGGATCAGATCCACCGATGCAAGTAGCACAAAATGGGTAAGTGTGTCACTTTTTGATCTAAGTGTTCCTCTAATTGACCCTGACTTGTTGAGGAGGTACCTACGTTCGGTTCATTGTTTGATCTCATGCTTGCAGGATAAAATTATAAACATGGTTTGCCTCTATATCTAGTTCAGCTCTCATACCAATCTGACGCTTTACATTAGTTTTAGACAATCCAAGAAATTTGAATGTTCATTTCAAGTAACAAAAATAAAATTCAGAGGAGGACCGTTCGTTTAAAACACGGTGCACAAAGGCAATGAATTAATCTGCAAGTAAATAACGAAGCTCTTACGTACAGAAAAAGTAGGACGAAGGACCTCCGTCCCACCTTTGAAACAAATTCCTAAATCCAGATTAGAGCTTTTCGTAGCACTAGGATAAGAAATGAGTGGACTGGTTGATTTTAAGCCAACTGAACTGCCAAATCCTAATCGAGAAACGCATATCTTGATTGAAATGGCAGTGTTGCTAGAAACCACCAGGGCATACGTTGCCAAGGTCGTTTGTTTTATTTTTATTTATTGGTCGTCAATCAGTGTAGACCGTTTTACAAAAGTTCTGTTGATTTTTGAATACGCTTCTTTCTTATCCTAAAAACCCATCCTACGTAGCATCTTTGGCTGTGGTGCTATAATCTCAGCTATAATAATAAAAATAATAAAGAAAGTCGTACCTTCGTTAGTCACGATGCTGCATAAAACGAGTGGTGCTCTGGTTCGACTGTCAAAATTGTTCTGGTGGCTTGAATGTCCAAGTCTGGATCAGTTTCAAATTTTGAGAATTCAGAGCTGTGACGAATTTTTGAAGCACAAATGAATGGTGGAATTGACCAGGCCTCCTCGGTTCTACAACAGGCCGCGTAAACGCTACCCGTATTGCTATCTGCATTCGGAGAAAAATAATTATTATTTATTTATGGGAAACAGCAAAATTCACAAACTTACCACGCACTCTTCACAAAAATTGAAGTAAAATGCACCGCTTGATAGAGACAAACCATAACCTGTAAGTAAAGAATTTAAAGGTATGAGGTATTTTAAATGAATTCAGAATTATGGTCCCAATAGAGTGTGAAACTGTTGTTCATTAAGTTAAACATCTAAATAATATACGATAAGTGAATTCATGTCATTCCTTTGTGATATATGCTGTTAAACGTTTAATTTGAAGTCGATGATTTTAATAAAGGTGTCGTGTTTTGCACAACATATAATTTTATTAAAGAATCAGTTGGATTTCATGATCTGGAAATATTTGTGAAACCTCCAGATGAAAACAAGCACAATCCGTTACCCACATCTGAGCATCTGAGGAAATGTTATCGTTGTTTTTCTACAAGTGGGCATTTTACCCCTACCAGCCACTTGACTGGCATTATTGGTTCCTTATCCACATATGCTAAATGCAGTGTCCGGACCCTGGTCGGGACTGATTAGAAAGCGAATTTTATTTGTAGTGCAATGGGACGTGCGGGCGAGAGTATTAAAATAGATCTGAAAACATAAAAAGAAAGCCATATTTCATTATATTTTCATAAGATTTTCATTCCATTTAAAATTAATAATAGGAGAAATAGCTCTAATGTTGGCCTATGGATATAAGATTGGGACTGCTATTTATCCATTTTATCTAGTTGAACGCGTCATTGGGACGGTACTAATGGATAATTTTGGTTGCTATTGAAAATTTAGTCGATTGCTGAATTTATGTATGGGCCCAAATTAGGGGCCTTTAGGCCGACATTACATCCATTTTCTCTAGTTAAGATTTTATTTCTCATTCAAAATGGGCAAAGTTTTAGATTTTACATTATATATGGAATCTCATCTACACACCAATAATCAAACGTTCACACGCGGCATTAGACAACATCATTGACGGCTGTAGCAGTACGCGACTTCCGAGTCTTATTAGTCATAGTTATTACGTCCCAGTGGAACTTCGAATTTGTCTTCAACTTTCATTTCATTTGCCATTTTGTGACTGCCGTCGTTACATGTGCAATGGTGACTACGTGAATGAAACATATTGGCTATCATTACCTGACGATATGGAATATTCATCAGCGAAAGAAAAGAGGGCACAGAATAATAAAATTTATGAAAATGGTACCATAATTTTGGCAAATTTAAATATAGCCCTTTACCTTGTGTAAACGGGAAAAGAGTTTGAAGTATGTTACTATGAAACAATCAAATTGATTTCCCATTGACAGGTTAAAGGCAACCTGAAATTCTGTTAACTCAAATTATATTCACTTTATCTGTCATAATTCTGCAACATCAAAATGTTATACCGTTGTTTAAAGACAACTTTGGAAATCAACTTGCGCCAGAGTAGCACACATCAAACAAAATATAATGCTTGTTATCGGGGGAAGGGGTTGTAAAAGGCTTGACCCTTTTATAAGTTAACGCCTGGACATAAACCAGGAAAGAAAATCCACATGACCTACACATCAGCAAATTCGAGATATTCAAGTCATCAAAAGTTTTATACGTTATGGAAATTAATAAACTAGCTATCGAAATGATCTGTTCCACATATCTGAATCTGATATCCGAAACAAAGCACCCATACCCACCAGTCTTGAAACTTCCATTAAATGTTGTTTGAAGCCTTCCGGAATGAATCTCTAAAGTTCTGTGACCTTCTCCTTTCCTTGATCAGGATTCAAGGTAAAAGTAACCTCTCTCTCTCTCTCTCTCTCTGTTTATTTAGGATTCTCAACCTAAAAACTTCCTGTTTGTGATCAACCGCGAATTGCGTTATTGAAATTTGTTCCTAGTACGCGAGTGTTAATGTTATTCGGAGTATCCAAGAAGAATTCCAAAGGACTTTTACTGGATAATGTCTCAGAGCTTCCGTCAAGGAGATCCCTAGACCGGTAATTTGATTTTGATTTTGCGCGACAGAAGGGGGTCTTAAGGCCACATTCCAGAACGTGAGTGGGACATGGTGATCACTTAACACTATAATATCGAAAATGAACCACATGCCCGAAAAAAAAAACCGTAGAACGACTCCCATACACCCTCCATGCTAAATCGTGAGTCTCCTACTTGCCCATATCATTGCATGCATTTCAGGTATAAGCGCATTTGATTCACTTTTCAGTAGCTAGTTTGGACAAATATATACTACAATAGAGCGGAGCATACTTACAGTTTTTTCTGGTTTCCATGTACTTATTGTTTTCCTTCACCACCAGCCATCTGACCAGGGCAATGGAACATCAGTTCTTAATGTCTTCAAAACTGGGGGGATTCGAATCGCTCCTCGTGCATAATCCTTCCATATAACAGGTCAGGCATCTCAGCATCTGGAAAGAGCACTCGGTTATTCATATGCTCGGTATGGCTTGTAATAAGACATAGAAAACGAAAAGAGAGAAGATCTGGATTAGTTTTCCGAGGTGACAGCTTTTTAGGAATACCCGTCTAACCATATCGTATCTTATGGTTATGGTTATGGCTTCTGCTTCGGTCTGGGTCGAAGAACATATTCGCAAAGAAGCGACAAAAAATTCCGTTGAACAGAGCTACAGCTGTACTGAGTTGTCCGTAAAGCTTCATTCAGACCAGCATAATCATCGCGGTGAAAATCAAACTCACTTTCATCATTGTATCGTCCAAAGAGGCGGACAGATAAGTTTGACAAAGACTGAAGGATGAAACGGATCAGCATCAATGAGAGCTTCAGGTGTTTTGTCGGCATTAGCAAATATCAAGTCCGAGGTCCGGTTAACATAATTAATCTGCTAAACTTGTCCAGCATAGGCCAGACTGATTATAATCACCAAACAGTAGGTGAACGTCCAAGTTTCTCGGATGTGGGCAACGCAGATCCGATGTCTTTCATCACAAGTCGTGGAAGTAGAAAAATCGGGAGGGATGTATACGTTACACCAAGACCGACCATTCAAACCCATGCTTGAGGCTACCACTCAGCAAAGACGTCAGCAAAACCCAACCGACACCCGTAGAAACAAATCGATGACGTGCGCAAAACCAGTTAAACTACGTGAACGAAGGTTGCATCAGAATCAAACCACCCGGAGGATTGGCGAATCTGCAGATTTAGTTTTAGCTGCATGGCAGTATTCGGACTACCAACGGTGTCAGTCAGGCCTTGCGTACCCACCTCGATAACAGGTATTTCCATTTGGGCTGCTTTAGTAACAGGCTGAAGTAGGTAGTTACCATTCAGATAAGGGGCAGTATCCTTCCCGGCTTCGGCGAGACATATTATATAATACCACTGTTAAACTTACCTGACAAAGCAGGAAGTAGAATAGCCCGACTGTGGCAGAGAGATTAGGGGCTTCCATGGTGCCAACATCATTGTGTTCCAGTGTCAAGCTGACAGAATATAGTTGATCAATCGGCGTAGCGCTGGAACTGGAGAACGAATTAAGTGTTGATCTCGTCAGAAAATATTTGTACTCACCTGCAGTTTCAGGTTGGAAGACCACTTATCCAATCCCACACACAGGGTCGGGAAGATTGTTGAACGACGGCTACAGTGGCAGGACTGTGGTGGGAGGATCGGTGGCTTTCATAGTACCAACATCGTTGCGTGCCAGAGTCGATGTAGTTCGATCCAGGAATATATCAGTTGCAAGGTTACGCAGTTTGTTCACCAGTTCACAGTTAACACACTTTATGAAAGTAGATTCACATTCTTTTGCTTCATGATCACCAGCACATATGAGGCAGCAAGTAGAGTTGTTTCAGGAACATGCTGTATGGCCAGACATGGAACATTTGAAGTAGCGGTAGACATTGATTTCTTAGGCCACTCTACAGGTAGACGCGTTGCAGCTTGATCAAAGGATCAAAGTTTCAAATGTCCGAGGAGAGCGGAAGATTGTTTTGCTTTTTCAATTTGAGGTCAATTTCACCAGCACTTAAATCTTCGGACAGACCAATGATTTTTATCCATGATCACTTGTTTCCGTACGGAAACGTTACCGTTCTCCATGCATCGAACATTTTTGACCGAAAAAGCAGCAGAATATATCTTCGAGAGAATATTCTTGATTTGTCACATCAGCACGTTGATTTCCCTTAGGCTTGATAATTACAGTTTGTTCTCTCTTGTTGGATCTCGCTGCGGCTCTTCTGCTTCCGTCCCAAGTGTCGAACCACAAAAGAGACTGGCCTGTCGGACTCTTTCCTCTTCAATAATTTCAGGGTCCAAGCTTGGGTCTGATGATTGATCCGTTCCCTATAAATAAAACAAAAATGGTTAGCAATCAGCTTAAGCAATAGCAATAACATCAATAACAAGGAAATAAAATAAGTCGACAGGAATCTGACCTAGGACCGTCGTGAAAAAAAATGACACTTCAATGAAGAAGAAAACATGCACGCCTACGTTGATCAAAAAGTTTGATTTTCATGATTTTCACCCACTTGCGCATCATCTTCCAGACGCTACCATAGCAACACCATCGTAACCAAATTTTCACATGCCGAGAGCCTATATAAGGAAGGCTGCTGCTAACAATCGACAAGAGGCTTCTGAAGTGGTTTCCAAGCGGACGTCTTTTTGATCGCTCTTCCCATTTTTTCAAGGTAGGATTGATTTTCAACATGTTTGCTAGCAAGGCGAAAAACGGTCGCGATGCTCGGAAGACCCGGTCCAGTCGGATTGTTAGACCGGTGTCTTTGCCCAACTTTATGAGAACCGACCCTGATGGCACACTTACGGCCATTTACCAGCGCATAAAGGCGGCTTCTTCAAAGCCGAAGCTGCCAAAAGTGCAGGATCGTTGGGAGGTTCTCAAAAGATTGCCGGTGACCGATGAATACGATAATGTACGGTCGCTGGTCGGTGAGTACATCCGACGGCCTTTTAAAGCGTCTACTAGCAAACAGTTGATTGGTGAGGGAATTGGGAGCGAAGTTCAAGAATACCGTTACGAAACTACTCCGGATGCCTCAAAGGCGGGTTTTGGTAAGGGGAATTTTGATAATAATTATGAAGGTGTAGAGTTAGATAAAAATATGAATTTAGGAGATAGGGTGGCTTTTGAAGGTCAGTCCCAAATTTTATGTGAGGCATTTAGATATAACAGAGCCGATGTAGATTCGGTTCTGGTAGCAGGTATTGCCAAGGTACAGGAATGCGAGACGACATTAGCAGTATTTGAAACATACGCCAAGATACAACATGATATTTTGGAACGTGTGACGTATGTTCCGACCACTGCTGATGTTTCTACGCAAACTACTATCCCAAAATTACAGCGAACACAGCTGAACTTTATGTATGCTGGGTTTTGGGAGAGGTGTACCTTGAGAGAAAATCAAGGTATGCAAACCGAAGATCAAAATTTGACAGTTCCGAAGCAGCCTACTATGATGCTTCAGAAAAATGCTAGTGGCCCAAATTCAAATTTGATAAAAAATCTTTTTGGTTGGAAATCTTTAGGATTGACATTTTTTGTTTCGGCCCTGGTCCTCGGTTTGCTGGAAATTCCAAATTACATCTAGCAGATTGGTATTGATTTTTGTTATTTGGATCGAGCTCGCTGGTGGTACAACGAATTTCATCAAAATTAATTAGCTTCTCCGAGGTCTTCTGACGAGTAAAGATGTTGTAGCCGGGTACAAACGAATACTTCGAGCTACCATCTTTTCTACGAGAATTCCTCGGAACCCATTAACACCGGATAGGGACCTTTTGGTGAAAAAAAATTCGTTTAGGGACCGTGCCTGGATGGCTAAACCTATTGGGAATGGCTTCCAAGCAAACCAATCGATGTAGCAGAATGCTTTCATCGAAGATCGTTTTGTTTATGAAGTTCGAAAGACCACTATCGTGAGCTCGATCGTCGCATTTCGGAGTATTTAGCAGTGTTAGGGTTTTTGATGTAGTATAGGTATATATAGAAAAAGAATCAGGTAGATTGATAGGAGCTAGGACAGGAGCACATATGTGATTGGCAGGGAATGTGGTGGGAGTTTAAAGGTAATGAAAAGTCATCCCTTTTGATAATTTCGATCGAAACTGGTTGATCATAAATTGATTTGATTGAAAATCGGTTTGGACCGAAATTAGAAATAGAGAGGTGACTTTTCAATACATTTAACGGGGCCTATCACATATGTGCTCCTTTTTAACTTGTTAGTCAGGTACTTCCAAATTTACCGTTCATGTATAGTAGCTAGTTAAAAGGGTGGTATAAAATTTCTCGGATTTTAATTTCAGAATGGCCTATTTATTAGCATACTAATATTTTAGTTTTCGAAAACGTAACAAAGCTATTAAAAATTTGATTAAAATGGGAATATTTCCTTCTTTGAGTGTTCATTACGTTGTTTGATTATTTTTGTTTTTCTTTTTCTTTCCGTTGTTATTGTTATTTTTGTTATTCTTTAGTTTGATATTTGAATAAAGAAGGCAATATTCCCATTAGCAAAATTTTGAATAAAAAATAAAATTTTCCATTTTGAATGCACATGATTTCCTACTTTCATGTAAATGGTCCATTTTAGGAAATGAAACTCCGGGAAATGTGATACCACCCTTAGAAGCGTTTTCAATCAGTTAGGAGCTAGGGCAGGAGCACATATGTGATTGGCAGGGAATGTGGTGGGAGTTTAAGGGTACTGAATTCTTTGTTCAGTACTTTTAACGGGGCTTCTCACATATGTGCTCCAGGATAGAGTCGACTTCAGGTCAGAGAAAATTGGTAGTTGGTAGATTGAAAGTGTATTATGTAGAATAGCTAGGGCCGAAACGAGAATTTAATGAGTCCCACATTTGAAATGATCTGCAATTTTTTCTCGTTGTCAATTAAAATTGTAATTTTAGGTTAATATTTTCAAGTTAAAAAAATCCATACCATCTTTTGTATGAATGAAAGTGCTCACTGTAGTGTATCAACTAAGTGGTGTTGCTCAATTTTGTTGAATTAAGTGTTTAAGGCTTCAAAAGATCCTGTTGACCAATGAATTCTTCAAATAGTATTGCCTAACTAAAGCTAACCAAGACACCATTATGGAATGCTCTTCGGCAGGGGAACTATGCCATTAGCGCGAAGCATTTTTAAACCACTGATGCTGGCGCCAACTAGTATTGTGTTTACTATTTGGTCATCACTTGATTCAATAGGATCAGATCCACCGATGCAAGTAGCACAAAATGGGTAAGTGTGTCACTTTTTGATCTAAGTGTTCCTCTAATTGACCCTGACTTGTTGAGGAGGTACCTACGTTCGGTTCATTGTTTGATCTCATGCTTGCAGGATAAAATTATAAACATGGTTTGCCTCTATATCTAGTTCAGCTCTCATACCAATCTGACGCTTTACATTAGTTTTAGACAATCCAAGAAATTTGAATGTTCATTTCAAGTAACAAAAATAAAATTCAGAGGAGGACCGTTCGTTTAAAACACGGTGCACAAAGGCAATGAATTAATCTGCAAGTAAATAACGAAGCTCTTACGTACAGAAAAAGTAGGACGAAGGACCTCCGTCCCACCTTTGAAACAAATTCCTAAATCCAGATTAGAGCTTTTCGTAGCACTAGGATAAGAAATGAGTGGACTGGTTGATTTTAAGCCAACTGAACTGCCAAATCCTAATCGAGAAACGCATATCTTGATTGAAATGGCAGTGTTGCTAGAAACCACCAGGGCATACGTTGCCAAGGTCGTTTGTTTTATTTTTATTTATTGGTCGTCAATCAGTGTAGACCGTTTTACAAAAGTTCTGTTGATTTTTGAATACGCTTCTTTCTTATCCTAAAAACCCATCCTACGTAGCATCTTTGGCTGTGGTGCTATAATCTCAGCTATAATAATAAAAATAATAAAGAAAGTCGTACCTTCGTTAGTCACGATGCTGCATAAAACGAGTGGTGCTCTGGTTCGACTGTCAAAATTGTTCTGGTGGCTTGAATGTCCAAGTCTGGATCAGTTTCAAATTTTGAGAATTCAGAGCTGTGACGAATTTTTGAAGCACAAATGAATGGTGGAATTGACCAGGCCTCCTCGGTTCTACAACAGGCCGCGTAAACGCTACCCGTATTGCTATCTGCATTCGGAGAAAAATAATTATTATTTATTTATGGGAAACAGCAAAATTCACAAACTTACCACGCACTCTTCACAAAAATTGAAGTAAAATGCACCGCTTGATAGAGACAAACCATAACCTGTAAGTAAAGAATTTAAAGGTATGAGGTATTTTAAATGAATTCAGAATTATGGTCCCAATAGAGTGTGAAACTGTTGTTCATTAAGTTAAACATCTAAATAATATACGATAAGTGAATTCATGTCATTCCTTTGTGATATATGCTGTTAAACGTTTAATTTGAAGTCGATGATTTTAATAAAGGTGTCGTGTTTTGCACAACATATAATTTTATTAAAGAATCAGTTGGATTTCATGATCTGGAAATATTTGTGAAACCTCCAGATGAAAACAAGCACAATCCGTTACCCACATCTGAGCATCTGAGGAAATGTTATCGTTGTTTTTCTACAAGTGGGCATTTTACCCCTACCAGCCACTTGACTGGCATTATTGGTTCCTTACCCACATAGGTATGCTAAATGCAGTGTCAACAGTGGTTTGACGGAAGCATGGTGCAAGTTCAATGTAATGTAATAGCGTTCCTTCCGGACCCTGGTCGGGACTGATTAGAAAGCGAATTTTATTTGTAGTGCAATGGGACGTGCGGGCGAGAGTATTAAAATAGATCTGAAAACATAAAAAGAAAGCCATATTTCATTATATTTTCATAAGATTTTCATTCTATTTAAAATTAATAATAGGAGAAATAGCTCTAATGTTGGCCTATGGATATAAGATTGGGACTGCTATTTATCCATTTTATCTAGTTGAACGCGTCATTGGGACGGTACTAATGGATAATTTTGGTTGCTATTGAAAATTTAGTCGATTGCTGAATTTATGTATGGGCCCAAATTAGGGGCCTTTAGGCCGACATTACATCCATTTTCTCTAGTTAAGATTTTATTTCTCATTCAAAATGGGCAAAGTTTTAGATTTTACATTATATATGGAATCTCATCTACACACCAATAATCAAACGTTCACACGCGGCATTAGACAACATCATTGACGGCTGTAGCAGTACGCGACTTCCGAGTCTTATTAGTCATAGTTATTACGTCCCAGTGGAACTTCGAATTTGTCTTCAACTTTCATTTCATTTGCCATTTTGTGACTGCCGTCGTTACATGTGCAATGGTGACTACGTGAATGAAACATATTGGCTATCATTACCTGACGATATGGAATATTCATCAGCGAAAGAAAAGAGGGCACAGAATAATAAAATTTATGAAAATGGTACCATAATTTTGGCAAATTTAAATATAGCCCTTTACCTTGTGTAAACGGGAAAAGAGTTTGAAGTATGTTACTATGAAACAATCAAATTGATTTCCCATTGACAGGTTAAAGGCAACCTGAAATTCTGTTAACTCAAATTATATTCACTTTATCTGTCATAATTCTGCAACATCAAAATGTTATACCGTTGTTTAAAGACAACTTTGGAAATCAACTTGCGCCAGAGTAGCACACATCAAACAAAATATAATGCTTGTTATCGGGGGAAGGGGTTGTAAAAGGCTTGACCCTTTTATAAGTTAACGCCTGGACATAAACCAGGAAAGAAAATCCACATGACCTACACATCAGCAAATTCGAGATATTCAAGTCATCAAAAGTTTTATACGTTATGGAAATTAATAAACTAGCTATCGAAATGATCTGTTCCACATATCTGAATCTGATATCCGAAACAAAGCACCCATACCCACCAGTCTTGAAACTTCCATTAAATGTTGTTTGAAGCCTTCCGGAATGAATCTCTAAAGTTCTGTGACCTTCTCCTTTCCTTGATCAGGATTCAAGGTAAAAGTAACCTCTCTCTCTCTCTCTCTCTCTGTTTATTTAGGATTCTCAACCTAAAAACTTCCTGTTTGTGATCAACCGCGAATTGCGTTATTGAAATTTGTTCCTAGTACGCGAGTGTTAATGTTATTCGGAGTATCCAAGAAGAATTCCAAAGGACTTTTACTGGATAATGTCTCAGAGCTTCCGTCAAGGAGATCCCTAGACCGGTAATTTGATTTTGATTTTGCGCGACAGAAGGGGGTCTTAAGGCCACATTCCAGAACGTGAGTGGGACATGGTGATCACTTAACACTATAATATCGAAAATGAACCACATGCCCGAAAAAAAAAACCGTAGAACGACTCCCATACACCCTCCATGCTAAATCGTGAGTCTCCTACTTGCCCATATCATTGCATGCATTTCAGGTATAAGCGCATTTGATTCACTTTTCAGTAGCTAGTTTGGACAAATATATACTACAATAGAGCGGAGCATACTTACAGTTTTTTCTGGTTTCCATGTACTTATTGTTTTCCTTCACCACCAGCCATCTGACCAGGGCAATGGAACATCAGTTCTTAATGTCTTCAAAACTGGGGGGATTCGAATCGCTCCTCGTGCATAATCCTTCCATATAACAGGTCAGGCATCTCAGCATCTGGAAAGAGCACTCGGTTATTCATATGCTCGGTATGGTTTGTAATAAGACATAGAAAACGAAAAGAGAGAAGATCTGGATTAGTTTTCCGAGGTGACAGCTTTTTAGGAATACCCGTCTAACCATATCGTATCTTATGGTTATGGTTATGGCTTCTGCTTCGGTCTGGGTCGAAGAACATATTCGCAAAGAAGCGACAAAAAATTCCGTTGAACAGAGCTACAGCTGTACTGAGTTGTCCGTAAAGCTTCATTCAGACCAGCATAATCATCGCGGTGAAAATCAAACTCACTTTCATCATTGTATCGTCCAAAGAGGCGGACAGATAAGTTTGACAAAGACTGAAGGATGAAACGGATCAGCATCAATGAGAGCTTCAGGTGTTTTGTCGGCATTAGCAAATATCAAGTCCGAGGTCCGGTTAACATAATTAATCTGCTAAACTTGTCCAGCATAGGCCAGACTGATTATAATCACCAAACAGTAGGTGAACGTCCAAGTTTCTCGGATGTGGCCAACGCAGATCCGATGTCTTTCATCACAAGTCGTGGAAGTAGAAAAATCGGGAGGGATGTATACGTTACACCAAGACCGACCATTCAAACCCATGCTTGAGGCTACCACTCAGCAAAGACGTCAGCAAAACCCAACCGACACCCGTAGAAACAAATCGATGACGTGCGCAAAACCAGTTAAACTACGTGAACGAAGGTTGCATCAGAATCAAACCACCCGGAGGATTGGCGAATCTGCAGATTTAGTTTTAGCTGCATGGCAGTATTCGGACTACCAACGGTGTCAGTCAGGCCTTGCGTACCCACCTCGATAACAGGTATTTCCATTTGGGCTGCTTTAGTAACAGGCTGAAGTAGGTAGTTACCATTCAGATAAGGGGCAGTATCCTTCCCGGCTTCGGCGAGACATATTATATAATACCACTGTTAAACTTACCTGACAAAGCAGGAAGTAGAATAGCCCGACTGTGGCAGAGAGATTAGGGGCTTCCATGGTGCCAACATCATTGTGTTCCAGTGTCAAGCTGACAGAATATAGTTGATCAATCGGCGTAGCGCTGGAACTGGAGAACGAATTAAGTGTTGATCTCGTCAGAAAATATTTGTACTCACCTGCAGTTTCAGGTTGGAAGACCACTTATCCAATCCCACACACAGGGTCGGGAAGATTGTTGAACGACGGCTACAGTGGCAGGACTGTGGTGGGAGGATCGGTGGCTTTCATAGTACCAACATCGTTGCGTGCCAGAGTCGATGTAGTTCGATCCAGGAATATATCAGTTGCAAGGTTACGCAGTTTGTTCACCAGTTCACAGTTAACACACTTTATGAAAGTAGATTCACATTCTTTTGCTTCATGATCACCAGCACATATGAGGCAGCAAGTAGAGTTGTTTCAGGAACATGCTGTATGGCCAGACATGGAACATTTGAAGTAGCGGTAGACATTGATTTCTTAGGCCACTCTACAGGTAGACGCGTTGCAGCTTGATCAAAGGATCAAAGTTTCAAATGTCCGAGGAGAGCGGAAGATTGTTTTGCTTTTTCAATTTGAGGTCAATTTCACCAGCACTTAAATCTTCGGACAGACCAATGATTTTTATCCATGATCACTTGTTTCCGTACGGAAACGTTACCGTTCTCCATGCATCGAACATTTTTGACCGAAAAAGCAGCAGAATATATCTTCGAGAGAATATTCTTGATTTGTCACATCAGCACGTTGATTTCCCTTAGGCTTGATAATTACAGTTTGTTCTCTCTTGTTGGATCTCGCTGCGGCTCTTCTGCTTCCGTCCCAAGTGTCGAACCACAAAAGAGACTGGCCTGTCGGACTCTTTCCTCTTCAATAATTTCAGGGTCCAAGCTTGGGTCCGATGATTGATCCGTTCCCTATAAATAAAACAAAAATGGTTAGCAATCAGCTTAAGCAATAGCAATAACATCAATAACAAGGAAATAAAATAAGTCGACAGGAATCTGACCTAGGACCGTCGTGAAAAAAAATGACACTTCAATGAAGAAGAAAACATGCACGCCTACGTTGATCAAAAAGTTTGATTTTCATGATTTTCACCCACTTGCGCATCATCTTCCAGACGCTACCATAGCAACACCATCGTAACCAAATTTTCACATGCCGAGAGCCTATATAAGGAAGGCTGCTGCTAACAATCGACAAGAGGCTTCTGAAGTGGTTTCCAAGCGGACGTCTTTTTGATCGCTCTTCCCATTTTTTCAAGGTAGGATTGATTTTCAACATGTTTGCTAGCAAGGCGAAAAACGGTCGCGATGCTCGGAAGACCCGGTCCAGTCGGATTGTTAGACCGGTGTCTTTGCCCAACTTTATGAGAACCGACCCTGATGGCACACTTACGGCCATTTACCAGCGCATAAAGGCGGCTTCTTCAAAGCCGAAGCTGCCAAAAGCGCAGGATCGTTGGGAGGTTCTCAAAAGATTGCCGGTGACCGATGAATACGATAATGTACGGTCGCTGGTCGGTGAGTACATCCGACGGCCTTTTAAAGCGTCTACTAGCAAACAGTTGATTGGTGAGGGAATTGGGAGCGAAGTTCAAGAATACCGTTACGAAACTACTCCGGATGCCTCAAAGGCGGGTTTTGGTAAGGGGAATTTTGATAATAATTATGAAGGTGTAGAGTTAGATAAAAATATGAATTTAGGAGATAGGGTGGCTTTTGAAGGTCAGTCCCAAATTTTATGTGAGGCATTTAGATATAACAGAGCCGATGTAGATTCGGTTCTGGTAGCAGGTATTGCCAAGGTACAGGAATGCGAGACGACATTAGCAGTATTTGAAACATACGCCAAGATACAACATGATATTTTGGAACGTGTGACGTATGTTCCGACCACTGCTGATGTTTCTACGCAAACTACTATCCCAAAATTACAGCGAACACAGCTGAACTTTATGTATGCTGGGTTTTGGGAGAGGTGTACCTTGAGAGAAAATCAAGGTATGCAAACCGAAGATCAAAATTTGACAGTTCCGAAGCAGCCTACTATGATGCTTCAGAAAAATGCTAGTGGCCCAAATTCAAATTTGATAAAAAATCTTTTTGGTTGGAAATCTTTAGGATTGACATTTTTTGTTTCGGCCCTGGTCCTCGGTTTGCTGGAAATTCCAAATTACATCTAGCAGATTGGTATTGATTTTTGTTATTTGGATCGAGCTCGCTGGTGGTACAACGAATTTCATCAAAATTAATTAGCTTCTCCGAGGTCTTCTGACGAGTAAAGATGTTGTAGCCGGGTACAAACGAATACTTCGAGCTACCATCTTTTCTACGAGAATTCCTCGGAACCCATTAACACCGGATAGGGACCTTTTGGTGAAAAAAATTCGTTTAGGGACCGTGCCTGGATGGCTAAACCTATTGGGAATGGCTTCCAAGCAAACCAATCGATGTAGCAGAATGCTTTCATCGAAGATCGTTTTGTTTATGAAGTTCGAAAGACCACTATCGTGAGCTCGATCGTCGCATTTCGGAGTATTTAGCAGTGTTAGGGTTTTTGATGTAGTATAGGTATATATAGAAAAAGAATCAGGTAGATTGATAGGAGCTAGGACAGGAGCACATATGTGATTGGCAGGGAATGTGGTGGGAGTTTAAAGGTAATGAAAAGTCATCCCTTTTGATAATTTCGATCGAAACTGGTTGATCATAAATTGATTTGATTGAAAATCGGTTTGGACCGAAATTAGAAATAGAGAGGTGACTTTTCAATACATTTAACGGGGCCTATCACATATGTACTCCTTTTTAACTTGTTAGTCAGGTACTTCCAAATTTACCGTTCATGTATAGTAGCTAGTTAAAAGGGTGGTATAAAATTTCTCGGATTTTAATTTCAGAATGGCCTATTTATTAGCATACTAATATTTTAGTTTTCGAAAACGTAACAAAGCTATTAAAAATTTGATTAAAATGGGAATATTTCCTTCTTTGAGTGTTCATTACGTTGTTTGATTATTTTTGTTTTTCTTTTTCTTTCCGTTGTTATTGTTATTTTTGTTATTCTTTAGTTTGATACTTGAATAAAGAAGGCAATATTCCCATTAGCAAAATTTGGAATAAAAAATAAAATTTTCCATTTTGAATGCACATGATTTCCTACTTTCATGTAAATGGTCCATTTTAGGAAATGAAACTCCGGGAAATGTGATACCACCCTTAGAAGCGTTTTCAATCAGTTAGGAGCTAGGGCAGGAGCACATATGTGATTGGCAGGGAATGTGGTGGGAGTTTAAGGGTACTGAATTCTTTGTTCAGTACTTTTAACGGGGCTTCTCACATATGTGCTCCAGGATAGAGTCGACTTCAGGTCAGAGAAAATTGATAGTTGGTAGATTGAAAGTGTATTATGTAGAATAGCTAGGGCCGAAACGAGAATTTAATGAGTCCCACATTTGAAATGATCTGCAATTTTTTCTCGTTGTCAATTAAAATTGTAATTTTAGGTTAATATTTTCAAGTTAAAAAAATTCCATACCATCTTTTGTATGAATGAAAGTGCTCACTGTAGTGTATCAACTAAGTGGTGTTGCTTAATTTTGTTGAATTAAGTGTTTAAGGCTTCAAAAGATCCTGTTGACCAATGAATTCTTCAAATAGTATTGCCTAACTAAAGCTAACCAAGACACCATTATGGAATGCTCTTCGGCAGGGGAACTATGCCATTAGCGCGAAGCATTTTTAAACCACTGATGCTGGCGCCAACTAGTATTGTGTTTACTATTTGGTCATCACTTGATTCAATAGGATCAGATCCACCGATGCAAGTAGCACAAAATGGGTAAGTGTGTCAGTTTTTGATCTAAGTGTTCCTCTAATTGACCCTGTCTTGTTGAGGATGTACGTTCGGTTTATTGTTTGATCTCATGTCAATCAATCAATTATAAACATGGTTTGTCGTTATACCTTGTTCAGGTCGCTTTATATCAGTTTCAGATAATCCAAGAAATTTGAAAGTTTATTTCAAGTTACAAAATAAAGTTCACCTGAGCTTATTGTATTGTCAAAACCGTCAACCCAATTAAGTAAGTTTCACTTCAAAACACGATGCACAAAGGCAATGAATTAATCTGCGAGTAAATACCGAAAAGAAAAGGAAGGATGAAGGTTTAAGGTTGCACCTTTGAAACAAGTAGCTAAACCCACATTAGAGCTTTTCGTAGCAATCAATGATCACACTGATTGACTGCGTCGGCATTAGCTAATATCAAGTCCAAGGTCCGGTTAACACAATTTATCTGCTTCATGCCAAGTAATGCCATTCCATCGATAAGCGCAATGTTTGCAGCAGTAAATGTAGAGCCCACGGAATCGATGTAAACCTGTCCAGAAGGTGAGTATTTCCAGCAGAGGCCGGGTTGATTATAATCACCAAACAGTAGGTAAAGGTCTTGAGTTGAGAAATAATTTCGGAAGAGATACCTTTGAAGAAAAATAAAAGGCTTCACCGAAAAACAAAAAATCCAATCTGGTATAACAGACACTTGAATAATCCAAAGCCAAAATCACATAAAATTTACATAAAACACAATAGTAGTGATGATTTATCAAACTATTTGTAGATATGCTGATCAACTATTTGTAAATATGCGATCAACGATCAACGATTTCTTCGACAATGCATCTTGACAGAAATGTTGGCGATAACTCTGAAAAAACTGTAATCTATTTGCAAATTTTTTTTTTCTCAAGACATCTACATGACATTTTCTGAAAAACATCGCGACCGGGATTATTTTTCATTTTGTCCTGAATTTTCAAGGGACGTTGGAGTCAAGCAACTTCAAATGGAGGATATTTTGCAGGTTTTAAACAATTTCGACGTCTCAAAAGGAGCTGGACCTGACGGGATTCCTCCAGTATTTATGAAAAGTTTTGGAATGGAACTTACTGCTCCATTGTTTTGGGTTTTTAATATGTCCCTGGAATCTGGAATCTTCCCAAAAAATTGTAAAACCTCATTTCTAGTGCCTATCTTTAAATCTGGCCGAAAATCTGACGTACGTAATTATCGTGCGATAGCCCATCATTTATTGCATTCCTAAACTTTTCGAGGCAATTGTCAAAGAAAAATAATTTTCACTAATCAAAAATAGAGTTTCTGACATGCTTCTTCAAGGTTCGTCGACCTCGACAAATTTACTTGAATTTATAGACTATTCATTGAATGCAATGGATAATGGAAACCACGAAGAAGCCCTCTATACAGACTTTAGCAAGGCATCTGAAAGCATTGACATACCAATGCTACTCTTTAAATTGCAAAAAAAAATGAAATTGAGTCCTTAAATGGCTTGAATCATATTTAACTAACCGCC